GAACCTGCTCTCTGGCTGCTTGGGACCACATGCATGTGCATGCACATGGTGCCTTCTGTCTCACTGCCTTCCTCCTACTCCTTCCCAGCTCACTGCAAAAGGGCAAAATCTGTGGATTTCTCTTGTAAAATGAGAAGTCCTTGTTTGCCTCTGGTAAAAGGTAAAATCTGCGGTTTACTCCATTTTCTGTGGGAAACGGAAAACCTGGATCCCTACTCATAAGTTTCAGAGTGAAAAAACTGTAGGGCATACTACATACTGAGATTTCATTTTCTATTGGGACCATACCATTCTTTAGGTACTCAGTGGAAGAAATGCATTCTTCTTTAACTTACTGGCTTTTTGCCTGCATTGAGTAGATGTCCTTCTTTCTTACCTTCTGAACACTCCTTTGGGTTGTTTTAAGTATGCCAGCTGTTTTTATATCCCCACTTCAAACGAATTACCCAAACCTGAGCCATGGTGTATTGGAGATGGTCTTTGCTCATGTCCTGGAACAGATCCTTTTCCCATACATCATAAAAGAGGAGATTTTTGCACTTCAGAGGTATCATTTAGCCAGATCACCTACTCCAGGTACACATCTAAAGACTGCTTTGGGTCAAAGCATAAGACAATTCCCTTTGGAAAGAACCCCCACCCTAAATAATGCAGGCATATAACCATGCTGTTATATAATCCCCTTTCAGAGCTTGATTAGTTTATCTTAAAAACAGGGTTATTTTTGCCCCAAGTACTCCCACTGAAAGTCCTCATTGTGAACTATCAGGCCTGACTTGCAAAATACTACTCCCTCATCCAGAGTTAAATTTGGAGCAGTTTTTACTACATGTGCACAAGCTAGGAGCAATACAAATGTCACTGTTAAAGTGCAACAGCTGGTGAGCACTCCCACTCACCAATCAGCAGCTCCTCTTTTGAAATAACTGTGTGTATAGACAAACATGCATTTTAAGCTATTTTGTGCTCCCAATTAGCTCTTAATCTGAAGAAGTTAGGGGATTTTCATACTCCTTAGGCTTGAAAAGAATGGTTGCATGCTGTCACTTTGTCTTCACGTGTTGATTCTTGACGTACTACTCCTTTCCTTACAGGCTCAAGATTTGGTTTGTGATACTTAACGTATAGGTTATATGTTTTCATGTAAGCAAGCCTACCTGCAGAAAATATTTGAAGGTATGGTTATGTAAGCAACACTTCAGAAGTCTTGCTTTGAAGATGGTTCATGTTCCACTTAGTGCAAAGAATGTATGTGCACACACAATTGTGGTGAAGCAGCTGCCACACAGTAAACCCCATCACTCTTTTACTTTGCGGTAGGCTGTTTGCTTGTACACCCTGGATTCACAACAGCCCCATAAATACATGTACAAGGTGCTCAAGGTTCTTTGGGTGAATCCAATATTTTTTATTACAGCAACAAAAATAATTGGGGCGGGGGGAAGGTTTCCTTAGCAAGCTTTCAGGTTTAAAAACCCTTTGTGAGGCTGAGGAAGCTTCTGCAGTTAGTGTATGCTCTTCCTGGATGGAATGAATAGTAAAGTGTGAGGCTGGGCTGGTATGCATGCAAGCCAGACAGTGTGGGTCCTTAGACCAACACGGCTACAGCCTACACCCCTGTACAAGGTGCTGTCATTCTGATTGTGTTCAGACAGTGCATAGTAATGGGATATGTGCATCAAAGAGAACAGAAACATCTTTCTCCTCTTGCCCAGATAACTGATCAGTCAGCTCTCAGCAGGAGACAGCAACAAGTCTGTAATTACAGTTGTTCTTTGCTCTTTATAGTTGTTCTCCTAGTAATGTGTGTGTACACACATGCACACACGGACACACACTCGCATCTTTTCTCTCATAATAGGAAATGACTTTGAGTCCCCTATGACTCCCGAGATCTCTTTCCACTGCTGTGCTCCTTAGATGGTCATCTCCCAACCTGTAAGTGTGTTGGTGATTCCTTCTCCCTAGGTGTAGTACTCTGCACTTATCTTTATTAAACTGCATCCTATTTTGTTCTGTCCACCTTTCCAGCCTGTCCAAATCTGCCTGAATCTGTTCCCTGCCCTCCAGTGTGTCTACTTTACCCCATAATTTTGTGTCATCCATGGACTTGGACAGTGTGCTCTCCATGCCCTTTTCCAAGTCGATGGTGAAGATACTGAACAGCACAGGTCCAAGGACTGAGTTTTGGGGGACTCCGCTGCCCATATCTTTGCAGGTTGAGACTGACCTGTTCACCACCACTTTCTGGGTGCATCCCATTTCGCCAATTTGCCACCCACCTGACC